ATTCTTATCCTTACGTTTTGTGTACCTCGTATTCGCTTGTAATTTAATATTGCTATAATAGCTTTACTTTATGCTTAATTACTCTCACAGTTTGTAATTTAATATAGTCTGAAGATGTCTTGAGTTAAGACGAAACGTTACTAAATCTTTAATAAAATTTTTAAATTTAATGGTTTATGGCTCTTTTAAAAGCACTTTGCTGGGCATTAATATTTATTATCAGAATTCGTTTCCCGCCTGGTACTTCTCTGGTAACAATTTATGGATGAACATTGCAAATTGCAGTCAGGCGAAATATTTCAAGATTTCGATTGTTTACTTAACTTTGCTGGTAAAAAGTCAGATAGATTTTACCGTATTCAAGTGTTGAAAAATCACAAAGGATTTCATGTTTGGACAAGATGGGGAAGAAATGTAAGCGGTATATTTCGTATTTTCGATACTTTTTATTTATATAAATATAATGCGGGTAAATGCGCTCCATTCCATTTAAAATTATATATGCACCGCCTCTACTGACGAGTCACTTTAAATAAATTTCTTGAAACCCTGATCTTCCCGCTAGGCAAATTTAAGGAGAAAACCTCTCTTCCCTTTTGAGACCTTTGAATATCAGACCCCTGGATACCCAATGTAGCAAATTATGCAAATTATTTGGTGTAGTACAGTTACTTGTCAATATATTTATAAATCATGAATAATTAATAAGGCTATAAACAAATCACGACGTGGTATATTCATAGGTCTCCCGAAAAGATCTTTTATTTAAAAAAAAATCCATACAATTTGCTTTAAAATGCAATGCTTTGACATGCAATGTTTCAATGTACAGTAAAACCTCTATATTTTGTATTACATGAAGTACGTGTAACATCACAATAGCGTTGCATCATTATGTAATATATATGGGGATATATATTAGCAGCCGCTCCTTGCGTTATCAACAATATAGTATTGTAATTATCAACCATTATCAGCAATAAGTTGTTGGCTTGTAACCCTAACCCCCACCCTAAACCTAACCCCCACTAGCCTGCGAACAGGCTCACTGGGAGAAAGGTGAGCCTGCACGGAACCATGCGTTTTATTCAATCATCCCCTTTTCGCATCTGCTAAACGCGAACCAATGGGTCATTCCAGAAAAGATCCATACCCCCCCTACGGAGGAAATCGAAAATAACCCCCTCCCCCCCTTCGGACATCCTTGAATGGTTCATCCTCCCCCCCTCTCCGGACATCCAAGCCCAAAATTACCCCCCTGCCCTTCGGACATCCACTATTTCTAAATTTTTCTAAAGGCTATACCTCGCCGTTTGAAAACGTCACCGAAAATTAGACTACGTTCACACTACGCACGAGCGAACTAATGCGGGCAGAATTAAAGAATTTACGTGTGTTCATACTACCGCCATTACAGTTTGTTTACAAATTGAATTAGCACTCGTGTAAACCCAAAATATTTCAAATAGACCCAAGAAATTTAACTGAAAAGCATTCAAGTTTACACGTTTGTGTTCACACGAAGCTATCAAGCGCTCCGCCGTTTTCACCTCGCTCCGGTTAGAAACCGTGCTCAAATTGTTACGGCAAAAGTGACGGGAAAGTTTTCAAACGATTTGCTCCAGCGTAGAGTGAATTAGCGATGGCTTATTGTGACTTTTCTACGCTGTTCTCAAATAGCTCTGGCGTGGCGGAACACTTGGCGGCTTCTTGTGACTTGCGAACACAAACACGTGGCAGGTTTTGTCGGATAATTTGCAGAAATTCACTTCGAAATTCGTTCAAGTAAAATTCGGACTGAAATTCGATGTAAATTGCGACTGATTGACAAGCGTTGCTATGTTTACTTACATGTTAATACATTTTGTAGTATTACTGCATTCCTTAAGCCCAGGTCACACTGCACAACGATAACGATACGATAACTTGTATACGCGCGCTGATTGGTCAAATATTTATCGTTATCGTTCGACTGAAAAAAAAATCGCTCGGGTGAGCGATATTAAAATCGTTATCGTTATCCTCAAACGATAATTTTATTATTTTCGTTGTAGTATGGACACTAACACGATTTTTTTGCCAATTATCGCGTGTTTACAATTTATCGTATCGTTATCGTTGTGTAGTGTGACCGGGCCTTTAACCTCACCCTTAATATGAAAGCCATTTCTATTTTCTAGATACGCACCTCGCAAGGAAGCTCTTTATTGACTATATACTAAAACAAACTGTTTTGAGTTCAGTCCACATAGCAGTCTCTTAACTCGAGCAACAGTTTAATAACTATTATTTTTAACACTTGAATAATTCAAGCTTATATATATACGAACGAAAACTGCAAACTATATAAATAAAGCGTGTCAATTTTCGACTCATTCTCAACATGCAGGATACGCTGTTACAGCGAGTTAGTTTTTGGTGGCCATGCATGCAAAAGTGGGCCGCTTATTTTGCTTACAAGTTACGTGGACGTATAATTATTGCTGTTACATAAACGTTCCGGTGTTCAAGAGCTGCATATATATGGCCGATAAAAATTGCGTGCTCATTA